CGCGCTCGCAAGGGGGCCGGCGAGCTCGGCTGCTCCCGGGGGAGCGCTGGAGGGGTGCACGGGGAGCCACGGCATCATTAACAGCTTCTTAATGAGATTTAGCATGAGCCCTTTGATGCCGGCCATGTCAGAGCAACGCCTCCAAAGCAGGGAAGCGATTTTTCTCTCCTCCCAGGGCAAATGTAGCAGAGTGAGCTGCTCGCTTTTCGTGCCTCCTGGGCCTGTCTCTCCGCAGCCTCCTGGAAGCAGAAAAGTACACAGTGACCTACTTTCCTGAGTGTGCCAGATGCATCCAAGGGGCTGCTGCTGGTGGTGCCAGCCTTTCTCCCAGAGGGCCCTGCCGCTGGAGCTGCGAGGAGCGGCCCTGCCGCCGGCGCGCTGAGCCGGGGCGTTACAAAGGGAGCCTTGTTACCAGCATGGCCCCAGCTGGCCACGGCCTCGCCCGCCGGCGTCCAGGCCGGCACAGATGCCCTTGTGCTGTTCGTGCTTCTCCCTGTGCCTCCTGGGGACGTCCGTCCTGAAATCAGAGCCAAACCTGGGTGGCGGTGGGTTAGACGGGGAGATGCAATTGCGCGGTGCTACCCTTCAGGGCTCCCATCCCCCCAAGAAGGGGTGCGAGACCCTGCCCGACAGCGGGGAGGGGCCCAGGCTCTCGCAGCAAAGCTGAGCTGCTCCAAAATGCCTCGGTGGGGCTGGATCTGACCCCGGCTGCCCGCACCCGCCTGCACATGTGTGTGTATGAAAAGGGTCTGAGGCTGAGGAAGAGCAAAGGTGGGCTGACACGCTGTCTGCAGGGGTAAGGTGAGGACGAACCTCTGCCCCTCTCCTTCCAGATGTGGTGACGGACTTTGACTTCTCGCCCTTCGATCAGCTCCTGCTGGCTACGGGCTCTGCTGACAAGACGGTGAGTCCTCGGCGCCGGGGGTCCCGAGAGGGCACCCTGCGTCCCCCGGCGTGTCTCTGCGATTCGCTGTAGAGCCCAGAGGAGATGGAGCCAGAGTGATGGGAATAAGAGGAGCCTGGGGTGGAGGGTGCCAGCCTTGGGGAGTGGTGTGGGATGTCCCCAGACTGTGGGGGACAGGGCAGATGGTGTCAGCCAGGGATCAGCCCTCTCCCACCTGGGTTGCCCCGCAGCTCTGATCCCACCGAGCTGCGATGAGGGGTCTCCTGGTGTCCTCAGGGACCAAAGCCTGGAAAAGCAGCAAGCCCAGGTCGAGCACCGCCGGCATCCGG